TACCAGCAGTTTACCACCTGCGACAGAGAGACAGAAGCTCCAAGGCTTACGAGTCGTAGTATTCGAGAACGCTCCAAGCAAGAATAGTTGGGTAAAACAAAGTGTTCAAAAACCTCAGCACGGTTCACACACAAACGACAGATTTACATTAAATATATCTTGGCAGAACCGGATCTGTAAAGGGCTGGAAGTGGGACTTTTTAGATATTTCTGAATTCATCCTGTGACACATTTAGAGGATGAGGAAGAAGCTACATTTCCTTTGATTCTCTCCAAGTCTCAAATGTGTCTGGGACTTCCACTTGTAAAATTAGGCGTCGTGTTCCAGTCAAAAGCCTCCCGCCAACTGGATGTTACCAGTGCATCATCCAGAAGTACGTGCCCGTTGTTGGGACCCTGTTTACCTCAGAGGTTAAGAGGGGGATGATGGCGGGATGTGACAATAATCGCCCGCGAAGGAAAGTTGTCACTCGGACGTCCTGCCCCTGTTAACCCCCAGCTACAGAGGTTGACTCAGCAGGTGAGCATTGGCCACAAATAGACTCGCAGGCGGGAATTCCCGCGTGCAAGCAGACATGTGAATGCTCACACAGAACATGTAAAAGAGGCTGAGACAAAAAAAAGAATTGTTCCTAATGCAGGATTTGAAGAAGTTGGGGGATATGCTTTTTTTTATCTGTGTGAATGACGTGATTCGCTTCATTATCTTCCCGGAGAGCAACAGAAGGGTAAAGATAGCGCTGCCCTCAGAAAAATACACACACACAGGAAGATGCCATGCGACAGGTGATTGGAGTTTCCTCATTACTCTACAATGAATATGAGTCAACTGTGACCAGAAGTGCTTTTTGCTGAGCAGAACAAATAAACATTGAGTGTGGAGTTAAAAGGTTCTGAGTGCAGCTTTGGGATACCGAGTGTACAAAATGGGACAAATGCCCCTTTTAAAATATATACCTTAAAAATGTAATCATTTAATACTATAATTATTAGGTGGATACTGTGCATTTTCAAATTGTAGTTGGTACTGGCCAAAGCTTTGTAAACTTAGCACAATGTAGACTTTCAACTGAAAGCTATTAACAGCTGGAATTGTTGAGAAAATAACTAACTTTTCTGTCTTGTAACGTTTAAGACCAGGAAACAACAACTCTTGTGCAAAATTAGGAAAAATATAAGACGGTATCTAGTCTCATATTGCAATATCGATATGAGGTTGATATATTGACCAGCCCTAATATCAATTTTGGAATTTTGCTTCTAATCCAAATAATTTAATTTATAAAGAGACAGTATAATTTTATTCCAAGAGTGGTATTTATATTTTCTTGTTTTTGAGAAATCAGTAAATGTTTGCATGGTGCCTTGGGAAACGATAGTGTTCTTTAAAAAAACTAAAATCACAAATAAAGCCCATTCGGCCATAATATTGATGTCTTCGTAATATTTACTTGTGGGTATTTTCAGGAGTAGATTTGAGACACAGAACTGCATGGATTATTCATTTCTGTCATGCTGATCGATCCAGCTGTGCTGCCCTTAGAGTTTCTCTCTAGTGTGTTTGTCCAATAGTAGCACTATTGGACAATGTTTTTATTTAGTATGCACTCGCACAAAGACATGACTATTCCACTGATCGACAGTTGTTGCAGCAACATGCAATAGACAACAGTAAAGAAGGAGAATGTCAGCTAGTGAATCAAAGAAGATATGGTTCGAAATAACTAGTAACATAGGTGTAGGTGTAGGTGTGAAAAAAAAACACTAATTGAGAATTTACAAAGAAGCAAAAATTCAATAAAAAAACCATCAGAAGATTTTACTTCCAATCTTTTTAAAACACCCTGCTGAAACTGAAACAATGTCCACCTACACTGCAACCTTTTATGATCCAAATGACAGTAACTAACATGCAATGTGACTTTGTGATATGGCTCCTCAGTACAGTGCAAACAATCACAGCAACATGTGGTGTGTCACAGAGAGGAAATAAAAGACCAAAACAGTGTTTAAGCATCACTCACAAAGACGGAAAAAAGTGTTTAAACCATCGTCAGGCACTTAATAGACCTAAACATACTACACACACCAAAATCAACGCTACAAGACCATGCATGTGATGATATTTGATGATGATGATATTTTACAGGTGGGATATCAAGGGAATCTGGACTAGTTTTCTTCTTGATGCTTATTTAGCAGCTTCAAACACTGTCCCACTCATCGAAAAATGTCCCATCTCCAAGTGAGCCATCGCTTTTCTATTTAGGCTCTTTGGTCATGCTTTGTAATTGTAATTGGAACAAAAAGGACACTGCTCATCATGAGATCCGTAAGGGTTCAACAGGGTCTTTTCCAGAGAAAATCAAACATGACTGATCAGGACTAACCTGTGACAGTCCTCGCTGAGGAAACTGTGACTTTAATTTGTCTAATTTAATCATGTAATAGAGGCCAATTACAGATTCTCAACAGTATATTCCTATCTTTGGCATAAAAACATACTGATGAGGAGCCTGTAATGTTCTCAACATAATAGCTATCTGACAGAATGCCACCTATCTTCTGACTCAGCTTCATTACTTTAGTAATGAAGCTTTCTTTAGAAAGGAAAGGGACAAAATGTTCAAAGCGCTCAACCACATCCACTGTGTGTCATGTGCAGGGTGTGATGAAAAGTTTGGTTACCTAGATAGGGGAACTTATGGAGGAGGGTGAGTTTCTCAAACAGCAAAGCTTTGTGAGGGACCTGAGTCAAGCAGGGAGCATATATTGGTGTGAGAGGTGAAAGGAAAGTTTGTCTGATACAAAACAGGATACTCCCACGTGAACGCATTGAAACGACAAAGCCGACGAGGACACAAATTTGAATGGCGACAGAAAACAGAATAGCATTTTTGAAGACATACAAGTGCTAAAGACGGAACTGAACCTTTGAGTACAACTTTGTTTAGTTTGCTAAAGGCCTAATGTGCAATAGTTTTGTTTATCGCATTTACTGCGTATGAAGATTATGCCAATAGTATGTACACGTAGTTGATTTTATGATAATGAAAAGGATTAATTTTTAAATAATAGGCCTATTTCCTGCTGTGGAAATAATTGTATCATAGTAAACAACCTTTTAACTTTACCTTTAAAACAAACCAAATGTTATAGGGTGATAAAATGTCAATAATGAAACTTATTTTACTGTCAAAGTGACCATAAAGACATACATTAATGCAGCTTTACATATCTTTGCACAGCTCTTGTCTCATGTTTCAGTGTCATGTTTCCACTGGAACAATTGCTTTCCATTTGGGGATGTCCTGTCTACATTTAAGAAAAAATTGTTGTTTTCATAAAACCCTGTTTATTTGAACACTGTTGGACTGCCATGTTTTCGAGGTCCCTGAATTATGATTTCTCTGAAACTTACCACAACGACTAAGAAAACAATTCTGAACTTGTTTTTGAATTCCAATTAACTTTTTCCTATTTTAAATCCCAAATCGAGCCTTTCAGAATTAACCACACAACTTTAAACTAAACTCAGCAAAAAATTGACAGGAGACATAAAAACACTAATGCACAAAACACCAAGGGATAACCCGGTAACAAAATATTTATAGGCAAGAAGATGATGTACATCCAACTGTGACAATACCCTGCCATCCTGTCGCTATACAGTATTTAAAGTGTTCCACTTTGTCATCACATTACAACAACCAAACGCTGAGCTTTGTGTATGCAGCCTGACACTTCCTGCCATCACACACCACCATGAGAAAAAAGCCAAGGCAACAACAGAGAAGAGTAAAGAGAAATACTGACGAGAAACGCAGAGTAATAAAAGCAAACAGGAAGTGGAATTATGATGCCATGTGAAGAGGGAGGATATGATGGGAGAGGCTGAGATCCCTGCACCATCCCTATTAAAACATCCTATTCTCCTAGTTGTTGTTTTCTTTAAAGAGAGGCACATAGAAGGATTGCAAGTTACATTTAAAGTTTAAAAGCATTTACGTGTTTGAGCCAAGAAGAACACGACAAAAACAAACACACAAGAGAAGTCTCCAAAGAATCGCTCAAGTTTTCAGAGGGAAAACAGCAGTTGTAATAAATAAGAGAAACTGCAGTAAATATATCTGGGGACAAAACCCTGGATCTAAATAATAAAAATAATTAATATAATATTAATAATAGTAATAATGTCCAGTTCTTTTCATGTTGAACATGGAGTGGAGAGGGTTGTGATTGGCTCAGTACAGACAACAAGGAGAAAATGGGCAATATTCTCCCACAACTGACCACAATGTCAACACACACCTCACATATAAATCACTTTTAAATGTGTGAGCAAAGTAGGGCAGCATGATTTAACGGATTTCCAGAATTTCGCCACGTACAGGATCTCATTTCACTCGTATCTTAGCATTAGCGGGGGCATTAGCTGCAACAAGCTAAGTGCTGCTAGTTTTCCCTATACTCATTTCCATTGGGGACTGTTTTACAAATGTTGTAACATGTAAAGTGTTAGAATGAATGGATTTACTGTGTTGAATCAAAGTTTCAAACCATTTCTTCTTTACATATACTTGGAAAAACCGAGTGTTTCAGATATTGGCACAATTAGCAGGTGCTAATGCCTTGCTAGCATCAAAGCGCTACGACAAAATGAATGTACCTGGTATGAAAACGACACAATAATTCTGCCCCCTGGCCCCAAAATCATAAATATCAGGAGCATAAGGTATGGACACACGGACACACGGAGACACACACACACACACACACACACACACACACACACACACACACACAACACACACACACACACACACACACACACACACACAACACAACACACACACACACACACACACACACACACACACACACACACACACAACACACACACACACACACACACACACACCACACACACACACCACACACACACACACACACACACACACACACACACACACACACACACACACACACACACACACACACACACACACACACACACACACACACACACACACACACACACACACAGTCTTTGTAATCTAGGGAAAGCAGTTGGTGTGCAGTACCTATTTCGGGCCTTGAAGCGAAGGCCGCAAATCTGCATATATCCGACTGTCGGACTCTTCCTCCTCTTTTCCCCCAGAGATATATTCTGTACATGCAGTCAATGAATAAACCGTTGCAACACTTGCTTTGAGTATACAAACATTTAGATTATACATAGATAGCATTATATCATTCATCTTTTTTTTTTATATAATCTGCACCTCTTTTCACTAGCAAAGTGACTCCAGACTGTATGAGAAGTAGGCGGTGCACAGGGGCATACAGATATCTTAAATTATTCCAGATTATGTGTGAGGAACCCGTCTCCCCCACCCTTCCCGTGTCAGATAATGAAGAGAGGACATAATGGGGGCAAACTCCTCTCTGTGCCGAGTCAGCGTCTCCTTCTGATGCTCCTTTCTGGAGGGAGGGGTGAGAGCAGGCTGCAGGTAACAGAGGCTGCGATTGGTGCTTTTTTGTTTGTTTGTATTTCTTCTTATTAACAGATCCTCCCTTCCTTCTGTGGCCACTCAGTCTCCCAAGATGATTTTCACAAAGCTAGCCACGTCGGTTTCTTTGGCCTCATGGGAGGTGAAGAAGGGATGTTGCTAAGGAGAAGAATTACATGAATTCAGTCTGAAAAAAAAATACTTTTTGCAATTATTTCCACTTATATTGTAACTGAAATGATTCGATACCAAAGTGGTATTAACACATAAGTTGTCTGAATGTTGCTATTCCTAAATCATTAAATGTTGCAATATTATACTTTTTGTTTTCATAGCCCTAATTAAGAATCAATTGTATATCAGATAAGTGTGATATGAGAACTGGTGTGTATGTACTGAGGCATCACAGCTTATTAACTCATTCACTATGTGAGGGAGGAAATATAGATCCTAGTGCACCCTCCAGTGTCTGATTAGCAGTATTACATGTTGCATGCATCTGCCTAAACAGCAGAATAAAGAAAATACAACAACAAATATATAAAAAATACAACACTCACCATGAGTTCTGTGTAAGTCGGCCGCTCTTTTGAAACTTTCTTTAAGCTGGGGAGGGAAAAAAGCAACATTAACACAATAAATGTACATTATAAACGACACCATATCCGTGCATTAAAGTCATTTTCAACATTTGGATAAGCTACTATACAAAATACTGTTAATGCGGCCCCTATTTCAAAGAAAATAAATCAGTGTTTTTGGATTCTTTGTTTTACATAAAGGCATGTGAAAAACTGACTTGTATTCAGTATTTCAAGGTAACACCGGTTAAGTAATTACTTAAAAAACTATAATTTAGGGGTGATATACTCCTGTGGAGAAAGGATGTTCAAATTTGCTCAAAACACTGTTGATGTCGGGGAAAAGAAATGTGTGTAAAGCCACAAGATGAGTACCTGCATTGGAAAGCAAGGAATTACAGTTCAATAAAAACAATCACCAGGGGAGGCAGCAACAAACAAAATCAACGTTAATGATTATGTGTAATTTGTGTTTCGCTCTGTATTCCTGTTCAACTCACTGTTCTTATCTTCAATTAAAAAAAACTAAATACAGTATGGAAATTGTGTAAAAAATGTAAGGCCAATCAGCTTCGTTCTACACACATTTATATCTGATTTAATGAGGCTTTGTTGTACGGCAGAGTGATTCTGCCGATCAGCCTTGTGTGTAAGAAAAATGATATGAAACTGAATGTTTCCTGGCTAGACAAACTGAGAGAAAAGGTTGTACCACAGGGAGGAGAAGTCCACAAAGTCGGGGGAGAACTGTTCTGCAGGAAGCTGGGGCGAGGGTTCCTCCACCACCTGCTTCAGCTGCTGGAAGGGCGTGCCCCACGAGTCGTACGGGAAGCGCAGGATGGCGAGCTCGATCTGAAACAGAAATCACTCTCACTGAGAACATGAGCCGTGCAAGAACAGCAGTATTCAGGTTTTTTGGTCTGAGCATGTCAGGTTTGAAGGGAACATGAGAGATCTTACTATTCATCATAGTTAGTCAGTAAAAATGTTTTAATTCTGACAAACCCTCCAATGACCCCACCTCTATAAATAAATGAACAAATAAATTATTAAAGTGGAGATAAATTATTAAAATGTATTTATAATAATAAATTACAGTGTGTAATGGTGAATTAATTCTTACATTTTTGTATTGAGTACAATACCAATTAATTACAATTTTGATAATCCATTAAACTTTATTAGGTCATTTATCTGGCAAAAAATAAATACTTTCTGGTTCCAGCTTCTACGTGAGGATTTCACTGTGAATTAAATATATTCCATAGTTTAGAGCAGGGTTTTTTTTGCAGTGTATATATTTAGCACATTTTAACATTATTATATGCTCACCTTTAACTTTTGTGTGCTGTTTGGGTCTGTGGGACCCGTTTTCAGTGTTTACTAAAATAAAATGTATGCAATTAAATTATTTTAACCTGCTTTATTTGGGGGTGGACCTCACATCCCCTAGGGGGGTCCGGGGGCATGCACCCCCAGGAAGATTTTTTTTTTTTAAATGTTGAAGTGAAATGCATCAATCTGGAGCACCTTGAGCACAACATGAATTCATGAATTCATGGATACAGCTCTCAACACTGTAGAAAGCTGTATACTTTTCAATAATCCAAACATCTTTAGAATATGATCACAACCAATAACAAATCATTTAAACTTGTTTATTCTTATCTTATGTTACCTAGTTAGCATTCTTTCTTTTTATTTATGCATATTTTACTAATCACTCCCCTTTTAAACAGTTTTTTTTTTTTTTTTTTACTGTCCTATACACATTGGAATGATTTCTTACTTTATTTTTTACAACTATGACGGCTTGCATTAAAAAATAATAAACATATTTGTAAAGTGGGGGGACACAAACGGGATTTCGAAAAGTGGGGGGGACATGTCCCCCCTGTCCCCAGTGGAAATTACGCCATGCGTGTGTGTGCGTCAAGTGCAATAAATGAATATGCAAGTTGCAACACACAGAGTAAAACTCTGCCCCCCATGTGTTGTATAGGCTGGCATGACTAGGCTGTTCAATGGGGCTGATGTGTTGTGTAGATTCTGCCAGAAGGAAAATCAGCAGGGAGGTGCCACATTGCTTTTCTTCCCGACTGCAACGCTGGTCCCGCAAATCAAGCAAGAACGTGATTGGTCGATATTCATTGTGGGGGTGGGGGGAGGAGGAGTGTTAGATAGATATAGAGTTGTAGTAAGTAGATAGAGTTCGCTATGATTGGGGTTTCGTTTATGCATAGGGTAGATTCTTTTAATTACATTTCCTTTTTTGTTTTGTGTATTTTTTACATTTTGGATTTGCTTGGCGAGCTATTTTTAGAACATGCCCCGCGTGCCCGCGGGCACTGTGTTGGCTACCCCTGGTTTAGAGACATTTATCATTTTTAATTAAATTCTATACTCTTAGAATAAAACATTTAAATATCTTCACGTGTAGTATTCAGAAAAACGACAAGATAATGGTGTTCTAAAAATATGAGTAAAAATATGTTTATTTGAGTTTAGATTCTGGTTGTGTATTTCAGATATAATTGGAGACATGAATGTTAGTTTGGACTTGCAACAAAGGAACACACTAATTACTATAATCAGTTTTAAGCTTCCCTCAGTTATTAATCTATCAACTAAATCCAATGTGTTGGTATTTAGTTGTGTTTGTGTCTGTGGACTCACAGCATTCCTGTATTTTCAGGATATTTCTATATGCAAGGTGAATTGATGTTTGTGTTATTTTAAATACCACTAATTTCATCATTTTTTGCCACATATGTGCTGATTTCTTGACGGCCGTATTATTCAGGTTTCTAAAATCAGTCAGCATGTGAAACCACTCAGGGACTCACAATATATCTTACTGTTTTACCAGAGACCTTAATAATAATTCCAAATTCCTATAATAGTTATTTCACTATAAACTGTCAAGCGTCTCTTCTCAAGGAGTAACAGTTGCTCGTTGAGAAACCGGCTCGAGATCGCTAGAATTTGAAAATACACAGCCGGAAAAAATCTGCCACTTCCTTATAGAGCCCCTCCTCCAAAACACACGAACGCGCACATGACCAATGAGGGCACGAGATAAGTTTGTGCACAGATGGAAGGCTGACAGGCAGGTAGGCCATCCAGTTATTTTAGCCGGGCCGGCTAAAATGATTGGTCGTGCTTTTTACAGTACTACGGCTTCCACAGATGAAATTTTTTTATGGATTTTTTGTCAAAGCACTTAAGATATTCATTGCTATCGGGATGTTAAGAGCATTCCATGGAATATAACAAAAAGTGTATCTCGAGCCGGTTTCTCAAACTTACCTACCCCACCTTTAAGTATATTTTATTCAACACACTTGTTTCTGTCTAGCCCAGTTTGGAAGATTTCTTGAAATTAAGACATACAAATCTTCAAATTACTCATAATAACACTGTTCACCCTGAAATCTGAACTCTTCTTTAACCTCTTTCATTTAAAAGCCCTTCTCCTCTGCCCACCAAACACTTAGCGCTCGTAATGCCATTCAAATGAGACTTGTGCTGGAACATTCTCTGCTAATAATCGCTCTGAGGAGCAGAGAGGAGGTTAAATGATGGGGAATAGATTGCTGAATCCAAAATATTCTCGGTTCTGCGTTTGAAATGTGCAAATGAGAAGCTATAATTTAACAACTCGTTATAAAACGTCTAGACACTCCTGGAGCCATGCCTCATAGAACGAGATTTATCTATTATTATGAATAATTCCCACCCTTCACAGACTTTTATACATTTAGAAAAACTAAGATGGAGGAAGAGATCAGAAAAGAGAAGTTACAAGTCATTAAAGCTGATTTACCATGGTGATTCCCAGACTCCAGATGTCAGATTTAACGCTGTAGCCCTTCTGGTTGGTCTCGGGGTTGATCCTCTCTGGCTGCGGGACAGAGGGGAGGAAGGATGATGTCACGTATGGCAGCGGTTGTCAGGGACGACCTGCACGCTTCCCTGCCATCCTAACCTTCTTGTACACACACAGACGGCGATGTTCCCTCAGCGCTAACCTGCCCTAAAAACCACTCAGCCAACCAGCGGCAGAGCGGGTTAAAATGTAACCCGGCTCAATAAGTGTGCGGGTAATAATGAGAGACTGAGAGAGGGACGGCCTACTCATGAGGCTGGTCTCATTATTGAAAGGTGTTTGTGAACTTATGGAGTTTGTCCTCATGGTCAAATCCCACCACTGTTATGAAATCAAATCCTACTAAATCCCGCCAAAGCTAGGACATTGTACATTTCCCTGCTGTGGGACAAATAAAGGATTTCTGATGCTGATATGCAAATTAGGTATTTTATTTCTCATTTTCTGCACTACAACTTACTCTCATTTCATATATTATCTGTAAAAAATACTTTTAAAATTAAAAAGCATTTTTTTCCTGCTGAAGCTAATAGATAATTTGGCCTGGCTTAGCACTTTTTACTTTTGTTGTTAATTTTCTTTACAACAAGTCATGGTTTTTTTAAATGAACATTGAATCAACTAATTCATTATGATGTACTTTTATAAAGACTGAATCAAAAGTCATTGATCTGTTATTGAATGAGTTATCTCATCCTTTACCAGCTTCAAAACTAGAATGATGAACACATTAATGCATGACAAACTATAAACTAGTTATATAGTATGTATTATTCCCAGAATGGCCCCTTTGGATCATGAGTACTTATGATCCAATATCCAGTATATCCAGTAGATCCAGTATATTTTGCTGCTAATACTTATGTATTTTTACTTAAGTAACATTTGCAATGCATGACTTTTACATGTATCAGAGTATTTTTACACTGAATAATTATTACTTTGACTTAATATGAAATCAGCTGAAATCCACTCCAGGAAGCGCTGCAGATTCAGCTGCTGATTTTGTGTCGGTAAAATGAAGCTTCAGATTTTCAGCTGTAAAACATGTTTCTCTCTCTCTGTACTTACTGCCATGTAGGGTTTGCAGCCGGCGTCCATGGTTTTGGCCACGGAGTCCACCAGGTAGCCGCTGATGCCAAAGTCGCACATCTTCACCTGGCCCTGCGTGTTGATCAGCACGTTGGAGGGCTTCACGTCTGCAACAACACGGCAAACAGAACACTTAGTTTGTGTGCTGCCACTTTTAAAGAAGTCTCTCTTTGTGGTTGTGTTATTTTTGTCACTTAGTTGCATCACATGAAGCGGTAATGGCGGGGCACAGAGGTGTGAAACAGGAAGCATTAACCTTTGAAGAAGCATCATTTTAACTTAAAATATAACTGTCTTCTTGAATGACTTGGCTTCAATTAATGTGTTTTTGGTCTTTGCTGAACATGTTTAAATGATGCTGTACAGTTTATCGTTCCAGGTAGCCATATATATAATGTCCACCAGGCGTAAGAGTGAACCCTCACTGTTTATTATGACCACAAACAACAACAAAAACTATTACAACATTCTGGCTACAGAGGAACCGTCCCTTCATACATTAATGGTACGTCCACGCGGTTCCGTTGCGTGCTTCAACGGAGACGCTTCCCATTCACTTTGAATGGGGTGACGTCAAGCTTTGCCGAACTGCATTGTGGTTCCGTTGCGTCGCTTTGCCTGCGTTGCTCGCTTCGAAAGTTGAGAAAAGTTCAACTTTTCAAGTGACGAAAGGAAGCGCCAGCCAATCAAATCATATACCAGTACAAGCGCTAGCCAATCAAACCGCGGGCTTGTGTGTCCGGGGCGGGAGATTAATGTGATTGGTTGTTGGTCGCACACCAGACACGCCCACCGGCAAGCTTCAACGCGACGGAACCGTGTGGACGATACGTTAGGCTCCGGAAAAATGGGATTGTTATAAATGTTTCAAGATGCCTTATTTTTGTCTGACCTCTTTTATATGCATTGTGAACTGTACCTGTGCATTTATTTACCTTTTATGAGAAACAAAATAAACTCTGCCTTCAAAGTAATGTTACCTTAGTGTTGGAGGATTATAAAGTTTAAAAGGAAAAGGTATGAGCAGAGGTGTAAAGTATTTAAGTACAATTTTAAGGGAATTGTACTTTACTTGAGTATTTCAAATGTTTGCTACTTTTACTCCACTACATTTATTTATTGCCTTTAGTTTCTTTCCAGATGTGGATGAATGATGTGAAATATAATCAAGTGTTAAATCAGACTTTAGTTCCACTTGGAGTAAATCCACAAGCTACCCTGCAGTATACAAAGTCATTCAAACTAGCTGCACCTTTACCAGCTTTGAGAACACTTTCATGATCAATCATTATAAAACATATCATATATATTATTCTGAAATGGACCAATCTGCACAATGACTACTTTTACTTTTGGTACTTTAGGTATATTCTGATTATACGCGAGTAACATTTTGAATGCAGGACTTTTACTTGTAACAGAGTATTCCTACACTCTGGTACTTCTACTTTGACTTAAGTACAAGATCTGAGTACTTCTCCCACTTCTGTCTGTGATTGACGTCAGTCATACTACATTCAATCCACTTTTTATACAAATATATTGATAAATGCAGCTTTTAATGGAAATTAATTTGAAGTCTGTAGTACTGAAAGTCAAAATGATAATGTAAATAATGCAGGCTTTGATGTCCATGGTAATGGGTGAAATGACTCATGCAAAGAGGCTGCTAATTTTAGCATCATGTGAAAAAGAATGGAAAGCAATGGCTGCCTGAAAGATCAGATCAAAGACTTTTATAATTATATAACGCAGCAGCATATGTGACTTTATGCTAATGGAATAAAACATGACTGACGAGATCCTTTAATGAGAGCTGGATGGAGTAACGAAAGGGAAGAAAGCCTCTCATGCAGCGGCGTGTTGATGCATATCAGAAGTGGATATGGACACTAAGAGCTTTAATGGCTCTCCACTCGGCTCTTACCTCTGTGTATGACTTGCAGATTGCTGTGCAGATGCTCCAAAGCTTTTACTATCTGTAATAACAAAGCTCATTAATAAGCAAATGAGAGTTAGACAACAATTATGTGTCATTAAGCTGAGCATTCACAGGAAGTCAGTCATTTTGAATTGTGCTGCTCAGAGTGATTTGAGTGGAACCCACGGAGACGGCGATCTTTCCCAGGATGTCCTCGGGGATGCTCATTCCCTTCTCGATCACCTGCTTGTAGAACTTGTCCAGGGAGGTGTCCATCAGCTCCATGCAGATCCAGACATCGCCCTGCCGACACACGAGGACAGAGATGAGGAAAACACAACACCAGGACGCGTTCCAGACAGACGGACAGGAAGACACCGAGTTTCCAGTGTTTCCAGTCACGGCGAGGAAATCCTGAACATCCTCACTGCTGCAGGAAGTAGTCTGCATCCTTCACAGGTGTTCAGAGATCTGGACTAAAGACACCTTTTTTAATTTAAATATTTGAATATTTTACAGTTTCTTCATCATTTATATATATTTATTTTTAAGGTTTTCTTTCAATATATTATTATTTATTTATTTTACTTTTAGAATCTTGTTGTATTTTTTATTCTTGTTTTCTTTCTTTTAATTATCTAACATGTTTGTCTTTTTTAAAGCTAAAACCAAAAAATAGAATTATAAAAAGAATAAAACATATACATATATATTATTTTTTTCATCAGTTTACAAAAAAATGCTGTGCACTTAAAATAACATAACATAATGTGAGGAAAAACAGAATAAAACACTTTCTGGTTGCTAGATAAATAATTATTTAAACGTTCCTTAACAAATATGATTTTTTTTTCCTACGAAACTAAATTGTCTGCTAACAAGAGAGGTCAGACTCCTTGTCTAAATGCATACTTAAATACAAATAAATAAATAAATGATTCAAATCAGAACCTAACAGAGAAAAAATATATGAACGTGTGCAGCTAAGGTTAAAGGTCAGATGTATTGAGGTTTGGAATACAGCCCTATGGTGTGTCCTCAGGGCGACTGTGGCTGCGAGGGAGTGCGGTCGTCTTTCAACCAGAAGGTTGTGGGTTCGATCCCAGCCCATGCAGTCAACATGTCGAAGTATCCTTGGGCAAGATACTGTACTTAACCCTGAGTTGCTCCCGATGGCATGTCAACGGTGTGTGAATGTGTGTCCTAGAGTAAGGTACTCTAGGACCTAAGGTACGCTCTGTATGAATGGGTGAATGACATGTAGTATGTAAAGTGCTTTGAGGGGTCTTAAAGACTAGATAAAGCGCTATATAAGTACAGTCCATTTACCATTCCTCTAATCAGACGAGTTGTCTACAGGTGAAACCTTCTAAATGTTTCCATCTCTACAGCAGGTTACCTCTCTGAAGAGCGCTCCGTAGAAGGTGACGGTGTAGTAACAGTCCACGGTCCTCATGGAGATGTCCAGATCCATGAGCAGCCTCTTCTGCTCCTGAGTGTTCACGGTGGCCCGGATCCGCTGAGGACAGGAAGTACAACGGCTCAGAACCACAAGGGCCTCATCTACTGTGTGTCAATGCTTGCTTTGTTTGTTCTTCATTTTACAACATATATCTTCCTATATATATATATATATATATATATATATATACACGTTCCTGTTTCTTTTGCATGTTTGTTAATTTACCAGAATGCAGAGGCTGTAATTCTGATGTAAGTTAATTTGAATATGCACAATGTGATTTGATGTGAAATGCGATTTTGTGCCAAACAGGGTTGGTCATTCAACGCTAACAGCTTATTTGTCTGATAACCAAAAATCCAGATGTGCCAAGACTAACATCCCTTTAACAGTTAGATATTTAGTTAAACAACCATGAATTTATAAAGTATATGTTGTAAAAAGGTCAATAAATGACCGTTTCTGGCAGACAACCATAATGCTGACAGGGGACTTTGAATAAAATAATAATTTTTGTATAAGATTATTAGAGATAATATAGGTACACAAGTTAACAAAATATATAACTAGGTCAAGTCCTTTTCAGACATTTGTATGCGGAAAGGTACACATTATAAATGTAGTTCCTCCATGTTTGTTGGTGAAAGCCCCCTGAGACAAATGTGTTTACTGATATTGGGCTAAATGAATCAAATTTGATTTAAATATTCTTTCATTGATATACCACCTTAAGTGTGAAAGCATGGGGGCTTGTTGAAATGCAGGGACCCTCACCTTCACAGCCATGATCAGGCCACTGGGCACGTGCCTCATCTTCTCCACCACGCCGTACGCACCCCGGCCCAGCTCGCAGATCTGCTCCAGGTCATCGGCCTTCACCTCGAAGTTCTGCAGACACCACAGAGGAACAAGGCCGCGTGAGAGGGGGATATAAACACTAAAGAAATATCAAATATAAAAAATGAATGAGGCTTTGATTAAAGAGAGTTAACACAGAAGGAGAGGACAGGAGTGGGTATGCCTCATCTACTGTAGTTGTTGAAAGTTAACTATAAGTTCTGAACTTTAGTACAAATGTAAGGTACCTACTTCACTTCAGTACTTTCATCTTATGCTACTTTATGGACCAGAGATAAACACTTTTTTTGTCCTGAAGCTTTAGTTACAGTTTTCATCCCCTTCGTGTCTAGTGGAAACCTCTCCAGATGTGTTCATTCTGAATGTTTTCGATTAACTGAATGATGAAGTGTTTCTGTGTTTGTTGAGGAAATGGTCCTACTTCTTTAGCCAGATATCAAAAAGCCTCTTGGAATAGATGGAAAAAACATCGGAAGTTTACTCTTTTAAATGTACATGGTTCTCACAGGACAGCAAAAAAGCTCAATCAAGTGATTACTTATAGAATATGATGCATGGCATTGGCTGTAGATTAAACTACTCAACAGTATATAAAGAAGTTAAATAATCACAACCTTACACATATAGAGTGGAAACATGCATCAAACATGCTGATGCAGCAGTAATAGGAATCCAGAAACATCATATACTTTTATTGTAAAACTATGAAATGTGGCATTTTACTGCAATTCAATTTGACTTTTAAAATATATGTTGCTCATATTTCTTTCATACTTCTTAGAGAGGACATATTATGCAAATGTTTTGGTTCATATTTGTATGTAGTGTCTCTACTGTTATGTCTCCATGCTTTAATGTTCAAAAAGCTCTTTATTTGTCTCATACTGCCTGTGCTGCAGCACCTCTTTTCACCCTCTGTCTGAAACCAGAGCCCAGTCTGCTCTGATTGGTTAGCTGGCTGGCTCTGTTGTGATTGGTCAACCGCTTGGAGATGTCCTACCACTTAGACCACATGTGTCAAACTCAAGGCCCGGGGGCCAAATCAGGCCCTTGGTGGATTTAATTTCGGCCCGCAGGATCATTTCTAATTACTATTAGATCTGGCCCGCTGGTATATTGCACGTACACCTTCACTGAATCCTGAGGGTCTCCTCAGCTCAGAGCCTGAGCCCAAACATTGATGAACTTGCACCCAAGATGAGATGCCAAGTATCTGAACTAGCATCACAGAGCAGCACACTGAGTTTCAATGGATGTTTCCTTCTGCACTTTTTATCTTGAGACAACAGAGCATGTTTGGTTTTTCTTTGAGGGAAATAGTTTTTTTGAAGCTGTTGAAGCTGAAGGCCTGTGGGAAAATGTAATCATAAGAAATGACTCTGGAAAAGCTGCAGATAGAGCCATAAGAAATGAATGCAACTGATTATTTAATGTTTCATGTTGTTTTTATAGGCAATCATTTAAGCTTTGTTGGTTCCAGGTTGAATATGTGCAATAAGTTCATTTCAATAAGTTCTGCAATAAACATTGAACCAGCCCGGCCCTCGACTAGTAACGATTTTTAAATGTTGGCCCACTGTGTATTTGAGTTTGACACCCCTGACTTAGACTATCATGTACAAAGTGTTGGAGCTCCAGCCAATAGAAGTGGGAGTGTGACATTGTGATGTCACTATGTTACAGAAGTAAACAAACTTTTGGATTTTAGCCTTTGCAGACCATTAACAACCACAACAACCTATATTAAGGAAAGGGAAATCCCAAAAAACATAACAGGGCCTCTTTAAATACGTTTTTGAATGCAGAGATGTGACTTGTGACAGTGGTGTAAGGTATTTCACTGAAGTTAAATGATTGGAATACTTTTTCAACCACCAGCTTCCTACATTATGTAAATATTCTTCGAAGTCTGAATCCTTAAATAAGTCCATGTAGCAAGACTAGTCTTTCATCTCTTTTACATTATTCAAGCAAACACCAGAAATCTTTCACTTTGACTTCTGGCCAAACTCGAGCACAGAAAAACAGGCACCTCTGCCAATGGAAAATTCCACTTATTTGATGAGTTTAAAATAAATATTTGTACTGCCCGACGGGCAATAAAAGACATTCCAGTCTCCCCACAATCAGAAGTGTTCAATTCGGCTGTAATGTTCACCCGGGCGTTCTTTACGGCTAACAGACCCTCTGCTAAGCTGACCTGTGAGGAGTACTAATACACTGGGAGAGGAAGAAAAGTAAACAGTGACGAGTTATGCAAGATATAAAGGTAGGAGAGAAAATGTCTAAACCTGGAACGGGATTAGGAAAGGTGAAAACATGAATTATGTCCTTATCTAATGAAATTACCTTCTCTCCGATAGTTACACAAGCTTTCGAATCCAAATCTCTGGGGGGTCTGAAACACACAAAGATATGACTTATATTATGACCAGGTTATATTTGACTTCTGAGGAAGATACAACAAAGTGAAGCAGGAAGTAAAAGTCAGGAAAATGTTGAACACAGATGAAAATGTAAATGTCTTTGTTCTCAACCCTACTGAGGAAGCATGAGCAGCCTGCGTGGATGAATTCAAACTATACTGTATATCGCTCATGTTGTTCATAGAGGTGTTGAAGAATATTTTATGTGGATCATAAATTAAATTGTCGTCCAGTCAAAGTTATAAACAGATTTATAAAGCCAAATAAATGCAACAAAATGCATTAATGCAATATAATTTAAAAGTTACATAAAAAGAGCAAATAATTGAAATAATAACTTTGATGATCGGATTAAAAAACAAAAACAAAAAAAGTTACAAATAAAAGAAATCAATAAATAAACAAAATAATACAAAATCACAAATAAAATACATGTTTTAAATAAAAGAAATAATATAAATTAAAAACACTAATTAATTGGGACAAATCTAATCACCACATTAAAAGGGTGTTGTATGGGTTAAAAGTATTTGCATTTAAAATATTAAATCAAATAAAATTGTAAAAAAATAAATAGAAATAATAATATTGAAAATAAAAAAAATCTCAAAAATGAACTTAATCTTTAAATACAATAAATAAAAATAACCCAATTATACAATATATTAAGAAATTCAATGAAATGTAAAAGATAAATAAAAAATGATAATAACAAATGTGAATGCAATGGGAGCACAGATTCACACAGAGTGTACTACAGCTGAAAGTCTGACTCTTCATATGAATTTCGCCTGAAACCAAAACGCCTCGGCTGCTGCAGGTTTCTCAATGAAGATGATTCACTTTCAGACATTTGGTTTTTCTGTTGCTCTGCAAACAGCTGCAGTCTGAGCCTCATGTTAACAGGAGCGAGGAGAGGAGGATGATGAAGAAGGAGCAACAGAACGTACAAATCATTATTGTGTTATAACAAATGTCAGGGGTGTGATGTGAAGATATTAATACTCTAACACTCACGTTTGTATTCCAATTACAATAAACTGATGATAATATAAGCCATCATTTAACTTCCCTCTCCTTTTGACTGCAGTTCATCAGATAACCATTTACCACATTCAGCAGTCTGTCTAGGTTTACTTTTGTGTGTGATGGATGAAAATAGGGGACATCATAAATCGTGACAGTTAACAATAAGGAAAAAGTCTTACACTGCTGTGGGAGGAGGCTGCTCAAACACCTCCTTGGGGAGCTTGAGCAGCGTCTTCCTCTTACCTGAAACACACAAGACAGAAAAACATCATTAGAAAACAATGGTTAGAGATACAACTTGATTGAAACCATGAGACTATGTACAGAGACTTTATTGTTTATTCCAAATAATATCTCTGGTTTGTAGTTCTTCTAAATTATTCATTGATTGGTCGAACATGTAATCATCCTCAACTGATTTGCTAGCAAAAAAAGCTTTGTTTTAACGTTATTTATGTCAATAAAGCACTATTAATGATTCATATTAAAGATTAATCAAGAGCTTGTTGTGTTTTATTGATCATTTATTTGGTAAAATGTGAAAAATAGTGAAAATCCTAAAAACCAATAGATATTCAGTTTGATGACAATAACAGAGAGTTACGCCTCAGAATAATCACTAAATGGACTGATTGTAAAGTATTATGGACATGACCTCAATATTTTTACTTTATAAACTAATTGTACAATTAATATGGACATGAGCTAAATATGTTCACGTTATTAACTTATCATCATATTATGGACATGCAAAATACATACAAAATATCAAAATGACCTCGATAATTTTTACATTATCAACTCATTGTACAATATTTTGACATGACCTTAAAATGTATTGTGTCATCGACTTATCGTTCGTTTTCCACAATTGTACGATTAATCTGAATAATTTTTACATGATCAAAATATCGTACCATATATGGAAATGACCAAACATTTGTAATGAACTTGATATTGCCTGTTAACATGCATGTTTTTTTAAGTATGAATGTAACATTTGATCCATCATGATGCCAGTATGCCTTGCTGATTAAATACAATTATTAGATCATTTACATTTTTGCCAATTCATCTTATGTTGACAAATCGACTACTGGTTTCCCCTTAATGCGGGTCAGGGTTAATAAAAGCGTTTGACTACATCTGAATCCTCAAAACAATAATTTTGCAAATCTGAATCCATTCAATTGCCATATTGAATCACAAAAATGTAAACATTTTAAGTAACAAAAGTGATGCATTAGTTGATATTCAAGCAACTAAAATCTAATATGAAAAGAATCAGGGCTATAACTACCAAATGTTTTGTTATATTGTATTATAGACTGATCATAATACAGTCTTCGATTGTAAAAGGTAAATGGGCTGCATTTAAACAGCGCTTTTCCAGTCGTGCTTTATATATACAAGTCAGAGATTTGGGGTTAGGTATATTGCCCGAGGATACATTGACTAGTAGAATTCAGGAGCTGGAATCTAATTTTTATTTTCCTTACCAACATTCCCAAACAACTAAATCTTAACTTATCTATCATGAAAGACCAAACAAATTCAATTTCGATAATATTTAAGAAGCTTGAACCTGGAAAAAATGTTATCCAAATTGATGCAGATACATTTCCTGTCAATCAATGTACGACCCCAGCTCTAGTTAAATCCCTTTACATGACATATCTGTGTGTAAAGCACTCACTTCGCACTAACTTCTGTGATAGTCTGAGAGGGAAGTAAAAGCAGAAAAAAGCAGACTGCCTCCGGAGAGGACAGGACGGTCTCGCTGTCAGCGGAGCATACCACAAGATGAAAGCATACTTAGCTTCTTAACATAGCTCTGGAGGAGAGATCAGTTGATCAGAGTTCATCCTGGTCAACCTATTACTCTTGTTCTCCCTCCAGCAGCAGAGAGCCGTCTGTAAACCCCTTAATGGGATTTTCTATCAATTTCCAGACAAGCTGCTACGACTGAAATGAGGACTAAATCTATTTTTAGATTCAAGAAACTTCAATGGAACCTTAGAGTGAGTCAATGCAAGTCATTCTGCTAAATAACTGATGACATGTATCTGCCAAAACACACGCTGCTTCTGTCCGGAGCCAACAGCAGCTATCCGGCACTTTAAAAAACTCCCACTGATGCAAAATGACTCAAACTTCCTGCAGCTATCACTCCGAAAGCTTCATATGTATCATATGTATCATATATGTATTGCAACTGCAACAGAAGCTTTATCTCATCGTTGACACTTACGGTTGGATGCAGTAAGTGACTCCAGATCCTAAATGAATGTAACAGGCGCTGAAAGGCGCTGAAAGCAAGAAGAAGAGGATGATGGTGACGAGGTCTGGCAGCTAGGATGTGCTTGCTCCATCTGGAGTTGCAGCACTGTTGGTTTAATTTTAATAGCCGGGCGCCTTGTTAACCGTGGCGTCACAGGTTCCTTAGGGTGTGACGTGTGTGTGTGTGTGTGTGTGTGTGTGTGTGTGTGTGTGTGTGTGTGTGTGTGTGTGTGTGTGTGTGTGTGTGTGTGTGTGTGTGTGTGTGTGTGTGTGTGTGTGTGTGTGTGTGTGTGTGGCTGCTTTGTCTCCACACAGCATCTGGCTCAAACCTCTTCAGACCGGGTTGAGCTGCTACGAGCCTGTCAGAGTTTGTTGCAGATTTGTTCTGATAAAAGGTGCCACTGATGTGTTTTTGTGAGCAGGTGTCTGACGCACAAAGCTTTAAGGTGACATTTAAAATCACCCCACTATGTGCGGCCCTATGATGTTATAAGGTGCATATTTAAAAGGTGTGTCTTTTTCAAAAGAACAACTCCTCAAATAAATACCTAGAATTACTCACATTGTTGTCTTGTAAACTGTCGGTTATAGAGGACATGTTATAGTTATTTTCAGGTTCATATTTGTATTCTGTGCCTCTCCTGGGACACGTCTCCATGCTTTAATGTTCAAAAAGCTCTTTATTTCTCTCATACTGCCTGTGCTGCAGCACCTCTTTTCACCCTCTGTCTGAAACCAGAGCCCAGTCTGCTCTGATTGGTTAGCTGGCTGATGTAGCACATCATGGACATTGTGTTCGAGTGATAGCCAGTAGAAGTGAACAAGTTAAATAGTGATGCCACTATTTTGTGGAAGTAAATGGCTTTTAGCGCTTTTTACAACTTTTATACCCTAATGATTAAAATAAGGGCTGAAGTGTATTCATACTGGGTAGTTTATTTAGCGAAATTGTATACGCTGATTTACAAATATCTCTTTCCCAATGTTAGTCAATGGGAAAACGTTTTTCTGGGCCCAAATGCATCAAGAACTACAACTTAACCTTTTCTAGCTAGGCACATTTGCTTCAACGGATGGCACTCTTCCTTGGGGCTTGAGAAACTCCTTCTGGAGGGAACTTTGGGATTTTAGCCTTTGCAGACCATTTACATGCAAACAAACCTACAGTATAGAACACACTGCAGGGAAAACCCCATAAAGCATAATAGGGCCTCTTTAACAAAGTGTCACACACGGTGCGTCCAAAGTGTCCTGGTTTGTTCAAACAGTACAGGGTGTGCCTCACCGTGCTATGCGGCCCTCCACCGGGGGCCTCTTGCTGCCTGCCTCCTGGTCTCCACTTTCCAAAGCAGCTTTGTTGCACTAAAATGTCAGTGTGAGCCCCTCCTACATGCATTTACACAGACAACAATAGTAACTGGAAACCGACTCTGTTCTAACAATGAGAAGCAAAAAAAAACCTCAGAGAGAGATACAGCACCTGCACGACCCTCTCAATGTGTTACTTTAGAGAACATTATTTTTCATCTGCATCAGTGAACTGGAATGATGCTGATTGGCGGCTGATCAAAGATTACACAGCTGACATACTTAATACACCAATAATGACACATGTGCAACAAGCTAACATCTGCCATTATCTGCCTCCATAGGCCCAGCTGTAATTTACTTCCTTTAAAATCCAAACCAAACTGCATTAAACCAAGTGGATTATTTAGATCAGTATGTCCTGTTGACTGTGGACAGGAAGTGGACGCACATGAATTCATCCTAACATCACATGTTGGTTTGTTGGCTATGGTTTTGAAGCTTTGAATTTAGGCACTATGTGTTTTTTTAGGAACCAGAATAGATCAAGACATTTTTTAGCACCTAGAATGTTATGGTTAACTTTCATGAGACGGAAAACAAAGACACTCCAATGGGATAAAGATGTAAGACGAAAAGACAGACTTCACCATGGTTGAAACCTGTCAATATTACTTTAAGGGTAACAAATTGAACATCTTGCATGTATTGAGGAAGACACTAAACTAGCAATTGAGACTACATACTTATTTGGAAAAGAAAAACTAAGATTATAAATCAAGAAAGAAGTTACTCATTTTAAATTTTCTCATAGACTTCCATACAATCAGATTATTTTTGTAATCAGCATTCAACCCCTAATAGTCTGTTAAAAAAAAGCAGGTTTAAGGCTCTTGCTATTGGATTGTACATGACCTGACAACTGTCACTTTCACATCAGTATTGCAACTATAACAATACTACTTAATTATATTTAAAAACGAGTGTTAAGAGTAGGAAGACACAATGAAGGAGATAACATGAATGAAGAAACTCAGTATGAGTGAGACCAAAACACAGCTGCTAGCCTGCTGCTAACAGCTTCTTAGCTTACAGTAGTAATTGGGAAGATTCCTGACAGTAACTCAAAGACATGGAACGCAAAATGTACAGTGTAAATTAACCTATAGGGTTCAAAGCAGGAAGAGAAGGGAGCGTGGATAAACTTCCCCTAAACGTATCGTAAAATGTCCACAATATTATTCAAATTCTGAATTTGACAGCATAATATTTCCAGTCCAAGCATTAATTAAACAAATCCACAGCCCAAATCGTATCACTTCCTCTTGGCTCATGGTTTAACTTTCCCTAGAATCTGATTTATGATTTATGACAAAACACAAACACATCCTCTTTGGCAGAAGTAACTACGGCTTCCACATGCAGAGAATGGATCAATAAATACTTTGCATTGCATTAACCAGACTGGGAACTTTATCAGATGATTGACCTCAAACAATGCCGGAACAGAAGCTCCATTGTGTGATTACAAATGAAGCGACAGCATCCTTCTTCCTTTCTCCTCCAGCACTGAATGGAGAATCTCCTGCCTGACAGCCGCTCATATCAGAGACAAGATGCAGCGTGCCCCTGACAGATTTATTCTCCAACCTAAG